CCTGCATTGCTTTAACTATTGCTGTTTACAAGAGCAATCCTAAAGGGGTGAGAGAAAGAGAATCTGTTTTGGATCTACTGCCACTTCCTAAGTCCTTCTGGGTTCACACTTGCAGGGAAATAAGGGGGGGAGCTTTTTCAGGATTTCCACCCCCCTCTTCATTCCCCATCATTTTACTCTTTTTTCCTTCCTGTTTGCCGGTGGGTGGGCAAGGAGGTCCAGATAAAGTTATGACTTTGCATCTAGTGGAACCAAAGCTTCCCCTGATTTCTGGCGGCAGAGCAGCAACAGCAGGAGAGGTTTCTGCCTCCAGAATGAGGCATAAGGTAACTTTTCCCCTTTTGTGCCAGTTACTAACACATTACAACATGATGCACATTGATTAAATCATGGCATCAAAAGCAATCGTGATGAAAATTGCCCACTGGTAGACCTGTAAGGGAGAGTGGGAAAGGGGCTAAAAACTGTAGCGAGTTATAGCCTGAACCAGGTCTGGAGACTGCAAATAGGCAAAGGATAAATGACTCATTTGTTGCTGCTGCTCAATACAAAAGAACAAGTCATTTGGAACCCTGACATCTGGGGAGTATTTCAAATGGGAAATTTTGTAAGCAGATCGGTCTTTTAAAAATTCATTTTGCTAATGCAACATAGGTCTCCTACAGATTCCTCAGCACTTTTATCAGTGATGATAAAGCAATGACTCAGCGCCCCATTAAATGTTACCCTAGCTGTGTGAAGAGGCCCCTCTTCAGCTCCAGTGTGACAGGGTCAGCATTTAATGAACACAAAGTAAATGTGTGGAGAGTCGTATGCAGGGAATCCCAGCTGTGGAAGAAGCACCCTGCCCAGAAGGAGAGAGGAGGAAGACTGTTGGGAAGACCCTTAGCCCCCCACCCCTGTTGGATCATTTAAAAGTTGATCCAGACTTACAGGACCTGCTTACAAACAAATGGCTCTCATGCGGTGGGGCAGAGATGGCAAACATGGTTCCCTCCAGATGTTTTTGGAGAGTCAGGGACGATGGGAACTGCAGTCCAGCAACATCTGAAAGGCACCATGCTGCCTACTCCTGAGACCCTGGCAGACATGGTTTGGTTTCATCATACCATCAGCTCTCTTACAATGGCAATTATCTATGGATTGCATTTTCTGATATATAGATATATAGATATGACAAATTAGACGATACCACTCAGATTTTTGTATGGGCTCCCACTGACCTTGATGGGCATCTTTCAATTAAGATTGTGTTCATGAATATGAAGAAACGCTTCAACACATTCAGCTGACATCAAATGTTACATTAGTAGGTCCTGACACATTACTGTTTATAATGCAAAAGTTTGGGACATTGCCACTTAATCTTCCTTTCTTTTCTTCCTTCCTTCCTTCCTTCTCTCTCTCTCTCTCTCTCTCTCTCTCTCTCTGTGTGCGCACGCATGAACGTACATACACTCACTATCTGATCATTACATAGTAGTCTAGCATTTGACCTGTCCACACCTTTCTTCTGGCTGGGAGTTTGCTGGGTTAATTTTTAAATAATAGTAGTAGTAGTAATAATAATTTTAAGAATAGGCTTAACACTGCAGCTTGTGCAGACATTCAGCATGGCTACAGTAGCTGATGACTAAGTATCTTAACAACATAACTTTCCTGATTGAACTTAAATCAAATGGGGCTGATATGGGTGAATAACCCACATTTGAGAGGGTGACAACTTACAAAATTTCTAAAAAAGAGGAAAAGCTTCACTAGAAAAGAGACCAAAAGAAGACACTAATTTGCTTCTTTCTTTTTTATAAAATAAATGCAGATACTAATTTATATATATTGCTGCAAATTTATAAATCCTGACTATTGAAACAGAAATCCAAGACCATTCACCAAAGTGGTAAAGGCTGTAGTTGGGTTGCCTGTGTGCCTGTTCAATCTACTCTCCAGGTATGAAAATGTTGGCAGGCACCTTCAAGGCCTCTCTTGCTCTCCTTTCTTGGGGTTCTTCATCTCTAAAGCAGACTTGGACTTGACCGCCCTTCAGATACCAGATGCCTCCAAAAGCAGGCTGCCTTCAAAGAGAAGATGTTCTCTGGCAGGTCTTCATACAGACAACTGTCCTCTGTAACCTAAGGATGCATGGCAACCCTAGGTGTAGTGATTAAGTTGTAATATAATAGGTCTATAATGTTCTCAGAAATCCATTAAACTTCCCCCATCCCCACTCAGAATGCCTATTTCCTATCCAGTTTATTGCTGCTATTAGAATTAATGTGATGTCAATTTCTCTGAAACCGATACATAAATTCACGCCAGTCCAATCTGCAAGTGTAATTCCAGTCCACTTTCATTTACCTCGCCAAATGATGTCAGATTTTAATTAAAACGCTTTAGCTGAAAATTAAATGTCAGCAGTGATGCAGAGTTGCCGTTAAAGGGGTGTATCAAATAAGTAGCAGACATTTTAAAAAGAAGCAAAGAAGGCAGCACATGGCTAAAAATAATGATAATGGAGCAACGGAGGAACACAGTGTGTGAAAGAGAAGGATATAAGAAGGGTAATCATGGGCTTTTATACAGTATCTGGTCTCCTTGGTGAGATGAACATGAAGAAAAGGAACAAGCGGGACACATTACTAGGGTTTCAGGCAAGTAAACATTCCCAGCTCTACCTGGAGAGGAAACAAAGGCCAGTAAGACGACAAAACCATCTGTAAAAGCAACTCACTTGTCCATATATACAATGGTAATTGGGACAAAGGATGGCTTCAAGCATTATAGATATTGTAGGTGGGTGATCAGCACATTGTCATTCCTTGATTCCAACCAGGTAATGTCTGAAGGATGATTCACACAGCAAGCACTGTCCTAGATAACGATGATACTCAGACAACAACAATACCCACACAGTTTTATGCGGACAGGAAGTTGTATTTTCCCAGCAAGAAAATATCATTGTTTGAGTGTGGCTGGGCACATTCAATGTGTGCAGCATTATCCTGAGGGGAAACATCTGGATCATGCTCAATAGCACAGTAAGAACTGCATTGACTATTGCAGGAGGGGTGCTTTTTCTAGAAATAGCCCCTTTACCTACTATTGGGGGTTTTTTTGGAAGATAAAAAATATTTATTAAAAAGGATCAGTTGCTTCAACCATGATTATTATTATCAGTGCCTCTTTTCAGCACTTCTCTCCTTTTTTGGTTAAAAAGTGTGACACTTGCTGTAACAACTTCATGATGAGTACCGACACCTATTTTTCTAGGAAAGAAACACTGATTATTATTACTTGCCAGAAACTGTTTTCTGCTTTAACTTTATGTATCCCACTGGAGAGTAGCCATTATTAATGCATGCATGCTTCTGGAATGTGTTTTGCTGACCTTCCAATAAACAGCTAATCAAAGATAAAGATCTAGACATTGTAACATCCCATTTAACGTTTATAGCCAAAAAAATTAAACAACTCTTTCTTTTAAAGAGATGTTGTTCTAGAATACCGTACACACTGATTATCATTCCATTTTAATTTGCAAGGGATGCACAAAGTGTATTTTTGACTGTTATACATTTAATTTCTCAAGGAAGGCTCAGCATTAAATCTGATGAGGAACCTATGCAGTAGGGATTTTCAGAAGCTTAGTACTTGCTCCACTAAGATCAAACCCTGCAGGCACCATCAGCAAATTGTTCTCTAAGGACATGTCTGTCCATTTCCTCCTGCAGCCCTCAAATCTGTATTTGTTTATTAGCAGCTATGGACTAATTTCCTCTTTGTTGTTCTGCCCTACAGGTTTCTCACATCTGAAGATGAGGTTGAACTTGAAACCCAGATGACTGTTCGGTTCGAATATAGGTAAGCTACATTTTCTCTTATTAAGAGAGCCTGGGAGGAGTAGACAGGGTCTGTGTGCTGATTGATGGTGACAATAAAGAAAACTGAGAGCTGATCCAAATAATCTAGGAATGGGTTCCATATTCTTTCCAAAAGGCTTCCAGCATCTGCCTTCTAGAGACAACCCACCCTTTATATGCCATCTCTGCAGCCCAAGCTTGGTTTTCTGAATCTTTAACACAAAGCCCTTTGGTATCTGTGTGCACCAGGCCTGAACCAAGACTGCTGTGGTTTAGAAAAAGCCCCTACAGCTGTGATATGCCCCATTAATAGATTCCCAAGCTGTTAGCATCTGAGCATCTGGCATGTGGTTTTAGTAGCTAAGACCTAGTTTATTCATTGAGGCTGCACTCCCAGGTAAGTGTGTATAGGGCTATTGCTTAACAGTGCACAAAATTAAATGAGCAGGTGGAGTTCAAGGTAAAGCTGATGCATCTCGCCATCTCACAGATCAAAAGTCCCTACAGGGTGTGCAGTGTCACAACACTGGCAGGACCAGATTTCTGCTGTCTTTAGGTGTTTAAGTATTAAGTAAGGACAAGTGGGGGCTGAGGGGACAAATGCACTAGCTCTACCCTCTAGCCCCCTGTCAATGTTCTCATTGCCTTCCATGGGTTGGAGGGTGAGAGCCTCCTGTGCTAGTGACAAGCAGGGTTCTAAATCATGTGTGGAACCTCCATGAGGTCAAAATGTCCCTGTTTCAGAAGAGCATCACCCACAATCTGGAGTGCAATGGGAACAGCAAGAGGGGCAGTGCTATCATGTTTGTCCCTCTGTGCCCTGCCCTGCTTGTGTGTTTACTGAACATTTAACATGAACACCTCTGGATGCTGCCAGACTCCAACTCCCATCAGCCCCCAGCCAGCAAGTCCAATAGCCAGGCATGATGGGATCTAAAGTCTACCAGCATCTGAACAGTCACCCTGAACTAGAGACGTTATTATGCTTCAGCACAAGCAGAAGAACATCTTTGCATTTAGTTTTACTTGTTTTCATGAACCCATATCCTCCTCTGGGGTGTGTGAAGCAGATGCTATATTATGAGGTATGCAACAGTCCTTCCATGACTAGAGGAGTGCACATCCTTAGCAGACACACACATTTTGAACTTGTCTTAAATGGCAAGCTAAAAAAGATCCCAAAAGGTGGCATTTGCTTAACTAACATTAAAGAGCACCAAGGAGAACTTTCGGATGCCCTTTGATGGATGGAAATTCTATTGCCCGAGAATGAATTTTTCAAGCAAAATGTCCTAAGAATGCGTTTCAGGATCCTGAAGAATGAGAACTGATAACCTTTCACATTGTTGCTGAGATATGGTAACCTTCCCATACTTGTCGTTTGCCGAGAACAGGTATGATTTATTTCATCTACAAAAATAGATACTCCTAACAAGCCAACCTGATAATTTGATTTGAATTTTGAAGCTCACAGGCTGTAAAAATTCCAGATAAAGTTGAAATATAAAATTGTACATTCCACTGGGCTCGCAACGGACCTTGTTCTGCAGTCCACAACCCTGTTCAGATGAAGCACTTGGACACATGCCAGTTGTGTCATGTGGATGTCTGTGTGACTCTATATCAGCTCAAATCTAACAATCTGAACTCAGCTGGGTCGTTGCTTAACCTTTGCACGCACATAACAATTAGCCTTGGGAAAAAGAACCTGGACTTTTTTACACTATCATTTTTTCCTTAATTGATTGACTTCAACATCTTCCAGTCTCTGACCAGAACATATAGGTCATGCATTACACTTGCTTGTTATTCTAAAACTTGTCACCTTTCAAAATGGTTATTGTATTTGTTTAAAAACAAATTAAATATTGTTTTAAAAGAACTGGATGGATTTTGAGCACCCATTCCCCCACTGGTAAAGTTGGTTTTGTTTGTTGCAGGAGGAAGAAAGCAGTAGGGGAATTGAGCCCTCTTCAGACAGTGTGTACTTTATACCATTCTAAAAAGAAGGACTGCACCTGTCCGACCCACCCCTGACTTCCGTCTCTGAACATTGAATCTCTCCCTGAACATTGAATCTCTTTGTGTAACGTGGGGCATTCCTTCATACACACATTCAACTCCATACATGAGGTTTACTGTGAATTACTGTGTGGAGCTTGGGTTGAGATCCCCATGCCACACACTGAAGATGCACAAACGCTGAACATCTGAAAAGATATATTGTGGAATCATGATGAAGCCTGAATCTGGGATACCGAGGGAGTCCTTTGCATCACATTCCAAACAGGCTGCCATACGACAGAAGGCTTCACATGGGCCAGCAACCACAGAGATTGTGGCTGATTTGGGATAACGGAAGTTGCAGTCTAGCAACATCTGGGTAGCGTCAGCTTCCTCACCTTGCACAAGAGAAATGGAAAGTGACTTTAAACCCAGGGACCCTCTGTCAACTGCATCTGCCTCCCCAATTTATCTTGGTGCAGATGGAAATAAAATATCCCGCAGATTGTGCTGATGATGTATCCTGCTCTGCAGTTCATTATGCTTAAACTAGAAAAATACTAAAGCCATGTTTCTCGATAAGCCTGACAGATTACATAAAGTCATTGGAGTTTTACAAGGGGAAACATTTTCAAATGTGTTGATTAAATTATGACTAACGACTTGGACCCATAGATATAAATCTCTAATCTCATCAGCACTAATGATCTCCTGCAGAAGGAAGAAGGTGTTTTATTCACTAAAATAAATAAGCTTTTCAGGGGGAAGCCTCATAGAAAATGAAGTACACTTTCCAAATTGCCTTTCACCAGGCTCATTTTAAAGGGAAAAAATGGATCACGAAAACAAAGAAGGCATCATGAAATCAAGCCACTGTGGGTGGTTTATAAAAGCGAAACCAATGTTTTGTATCCCTTGAAATTACCCATTAGGCTTGCATTCTGAGCTGCTCAACCTTCCAAAATTATTTTTACATAGACATGCCTTGGATTAAATAATGAACTACCGTATTTTTCCATGTATAAGACGCCCCCTATTTTTGAGGACTCCAAATTAAGAAAACACCTCTCAGCACTACTCATGTATAAGACAAGCCCCAATTTTGGTTAAAAAAAAAAAACCAAACCCTAGCCTTATACATGGAAAAATACGGTAAATTGTTAAAATAATTTGCCTATAACCACAATCCCAAAATCGGCAAGTTCCCTAGAGGATGTTAGAAACACTGAAAAATTGGATAGTTAATGCAAAGGAGGAGAGATCTCGAAGACCCAGATCATATACAGATTGCAATTCTTTCCCCCACCGCTTTCCCAATCCTGCTCTGATCTTCTAGGGGAAGAGGCTCACAAGGGCTTTTGAAAGCCTCCCCCACCCTCCTGTTTTAATACAGGAGTGAAGAGGATTTTGACTGGCCAACTGCCCTGCCCATCTGTCAATCATATGATGTCATAATGGCTTCACACTGTTGGCAACTGGGTGGCCCCACCTACCTATCAAATATGACTCACAAAGCAATTCTTGATCGGGATCTGGCCTATGGCATACCTTGATGGCTTCCTTTAGCTATTGTTATAACCATGCTATACTATATTTCCTGCACCACGTTCCACAGGCTACATAACCCTCTCATAGATCAAGTATGCAGGGAGTAGAGGGAAGAAATTGAAAGTGAATTGTTTACTGCTTGATGAGATATTTATTCATTTCTCATTTTTTAATTCTTTCCATCAACGAAGTCCTTTGGATGGTTTTCAAAAGCCATGAATCAATAAAATACAAATGTACAATCAGATAACATCAAGACATACGCTAAAAAGATTTATCAGTACAGGCAATGTAAACCTATCAGAAACCAACATTACATCATTATAAAACTAGCCAAAAAAAGCATAGGAATTAATTAGTGTCAAAGATCAATGATGCACTAAACACATGTAACTCAAAGAAGCACTGTCAATGAAAAGGCCCCAGTACAGGTACCAGGCAAGACTCTATGGGAAAGGAGTTCCATAGATGGGGTGCCAGAAACCAAAATAAACTCTTGTCTGTCTCACCTCATTTGGCAAGGGCTACTTTTCTTCTTGACCTTACTGTAAGCACTGACTCGCACATGAATGTGATTCAGACAAATACAGTACTTCACAACTTGCTGATATTGTTCCACTGCTGCAAAACATCAACCACATGGGTGCGTCCAAAAACATGTGTTGCTCAGTCAACAACATCCCTCCTGTGTTGGGGAACAATTGTGTGGGAAGGACACACAGAACTGCCTCCACCAACATCATCCTGCTATTTAAGGCGCTTGCAGTGGTATAGGACAAAGATGGGGAACCTCTGGCTCTTCAGATGTTGTTCTCCCATCACCCCCAGCCAGCATGGCCAACGGTCAGGGATGATGGGAATCCAATAACATTTGATGGGTTGCAGGTTCCCTGGTTACAAGATGTCACCATGAGAAAATAGCTCCACTCCACTACAGGTAAAGTATTGAGATCAGTGAGTGATGTATATGCACTTGGGTTCATCTAAGGTGTGTCCTCTTCATTTAATGGGCTTTAGCTACTACAACAAAGAACATAATAAAACCTTAATATAGATGGGTAGCGAAATGATCTCTAAACATTAACTGTGCTTCTGTCTAGTAGAGGCTGCAGAAGGTTCATGCTTAACTCGTTAGGAAATTAGCACTGTGCTTTTGTTATTACTCTTTGAACAAAGGAATAAGGGGTGGTGGTGAACCACAGAGAGAATATAGCTACTCTCTGACCCTCTGTAATGAAAAGCCATATAATTTACTTGACACTGATTGGAAGCAAAGGTTAGTGATTCACACCAAATTAACACAGCTCTACTACAAGTGCATTACTTATGTGTCATTAATCACCATCCCAAGAGAACTGACTAATCAATGACAGGATAAATTTACTTGCAGGTGCATTTTCTGAATGAGAAAGGAGCAGAAAAGGTCTAACGTGCCAGAGATTCTACACTGAATATAGCCTAACATTTGAACATATTGAGCAGCTTGAACATGATCCAGAGCTGGTCTCCCAAGTTTCCTTTAAAGTCTAACAAACCCTGCACTTAAAAAAAGATAACAATTTTAAAATCCTCCTCAATTACACACATCTATCACTCTACAGCGGTAATTTACTGCCCACAAGGCATAGCACAGATTATATCAGAGACGGAGTGATCCTCCAGACTTTGCAGACTACAACTCCCATCAGCCCCAGCTAGCATGGCCAATAGCCAGGAATGATGGGAATTGTAGTCCAAAACATCTGAAGGGAACCATGTTGGCTATCTTGAATATACAGTCCTTTCTCTGGAATGTGTTTACCAACGTTGCTTGTTTGTTTACTTATTATATTTTAACATATAGCCCAAGTGTCATTCAATGATCTCTCCCCCCCCCTCCATTTACAGTCACAACCACCCTCTGAGGTAGATTAGGCTGATAGTGACTAGCCCATGGTTGCCCAGTGAGCTTCATGGCTGCGTGGGGATTTCAACACAGGACCCTTCTGTCCTAAGGAAGTCCTAGTCCAACTCTAACCACCACATCACACCACACTGTCTCAATGTATGGCAGAACTGTTTTTTCAAATGGATTTTGGAACACAGATGTAGGAGACTCTCATTTTACTTGTTGGGATATTAGTGGGAGCTGTTACATCCCACCAGGAGAATCACCTGGTGCTGTTAATTCCCTGGGCTGCAACACTTCAAAATGTCGCTATTCACTCCTAGCATAGAGTCAATATGGAAACTTAAGGTAATTTTAAGGGGGAAAGAGCTGTGCTCTACTACAGATTTGTAAAAATGTCAGAAGAGGGGGGGACCCCCTAATGGTGGGGGGAATCAAATATGTTGAATTCTATTCTGCAAAAAACATTATGGGAAGAATGACAGGTTTTAATAAGTCTTTTATTGGCAGAAGTATGACCATAGTGTATCTCCTCAAATCTCTGATCCCCACCCCAAGAGCTTCTTGGTGTAAGCCCTGACCACTTTGGGAAAGTTCCTACTCTCAGAAGTGCCTTGAGATTTGCTCTAAAATGCAATATTTGTTGTAATGAAGTATGTAAACAGGTCTGCATCAAGGGCCTAGACAGACAAAACAGAATGAGCCTGTTAACAGAAATAATTTGCTCATAAATCAAAATTATGCTTTGTCAGCTCAGCAATAACTGTTATCCTTGACAGAAGGCTCATGAAATCATAATTAATCAAATACATTTACCTAGGTCATAGGTTTAGGTCATAGACCTCAAGAGCACACATTCACCTACATCAACATAAGGCCAGAACAATATGTTTTATTAAGCTTCCTCACAACAACTGTGTGTGTGTGTGTGTGTGTGTGTGTGTGTGTGTGTAAGAGATAGATATGCATGTATAAAACCTCAGCGCCTAGGACTTGCCGATCGTATGGTCGGCGGTTCGAATCCCCGCGGCGGGGTGAACTCCCGTCTTTCGGTCCCAGCTCCTGCCCACCTAGCAGTTCGAAAGCACCCCTAAGTGCAAGTAGATAAATAGGGATCACTTTATAGCGGGAAGGTAAACAGCATTTCCGTGTGCTGCGCTGGTGCTGGCTCGCCAGAGCAGCTTCGTCACGCTGGCCACATGACCCGCAAGTGTCTTCGGACAGCACTGGCTCCCGGCCACTTAAGTGAGATGAGCGCACAACCCTAGAGTCGGACACGACTGGCCCGTACGGGCAGGGGTACCTTTACCTTTATTATATGTCTATATATGTCTGTAATTCCCTCAACCTAGTGCTCGCCACAAGTTTTGAACTAGAACTCCTACAGCCATGACCATCTTGGAGTCCCAAACATCTAGAAAACACCAGATTGGAGAAGAGTGGTATTATATTTTCTATGTCAACTGACCAGCATATTTCATACCAAACAGTATTCAACCACATTCAAATATTAGGTTATGCGCTGGCACAAACATGTACCAGACTATTTTGTTTTCGTATAGTCCTATATGGATTATTATGAATTTTACAGCAATAAATCAAAATTCAACCCCAACAGGGGAGAAAAATGAAAACTATGCTCAAGCATTTATTTATTTATTTTGTCTGTATCTTTAAAGGTTGTGGACTGACATTCAATTCAGTACTGTACAACAGTATAATATACCATTCAATCCAATTCTACTCTTTTGAATCTTGGAAATCAAAGTCTGGAGGACATCCATGAGTTTAATTACAGAAGACAGGCATTCAGTAGTCAACATGGTAATCTCCAGATGTCCATGAACAACAACTCTAGTTATTCTTTACCATTGGCCAGGTTGGCTGGGGCGGATGGGAGCTGTAGTTCAACGACATCTGAAGGACGCCATGTTGGCTCTTCCAGCTTTAACCTAGGCCAGCCTTCCCTGAACTTGGTGCCCTCCAGATGTTTTTTGTCTGAGGCTGAT